AGCGCATAAAGGCTTGTCCTGGCCTGCCTTGGCCAGGACGCCGCACGGATTTCTTCCGCTGTAGAACTACTCCCATGATATAGCGGCACAACCACTATACACAGAGCGGTCGGCGAGGCCTTGACAATGATAATAACTTGAAACTGTGTCAGAGCTAACCGCAACCCACCCAGATATGGTACACACACAACATGATTGATCAATAACACTAAATACACACAACATGATTTCTGCCACGCACTTTGCCACCATTCGACGCTGCCAAGCACACTGCTCCTCAAGGTCCACGAGGTCTCTGGTCATCACAGCTCACCCTGCTTCCATGACCTCCATACGATGGTGTACGTCTGCCAAAGACCACCCATAAACTAATGGAGAATCGCCCAAACCCGCTCTCCAAAACACATGTAACAACCGAATGATGTGGTTCTCAACTTCAGCGACTTGAAAGCCGACCGCAGAGAGGTTTTCGCAGATCTTCAACCATCGGGCCAAGACACTCCAGGAAATCTGATCGTGGGGGAGGTTCATTATCTCGAACATCACAGCTGCGAGTGTGTTCAACGCTGGACTAACGATGCAAGCAGGCAGTTCAATAGGGGGCAGCCAACCAGACCGGACAATCGTCAGTGCGGAAGTCACTATTTCCCGCGTTACTAAAAATTGGTCCCTCGGACGCACACCCCGAACATGAAACCCGTTAACGACTTCGTACCCCAAAGGGGCTATCGCATTCTATTTGCAATATTGCACGAGCATTAGACGGACCACGGTATACTCCAATGTCAGCGTCGACCCCACCGGATATGGCAAATTAGAACCTACTGATTCATTGACAACCAACTGAGCGCCGTGATGGTTAAGGGCCATTCCCAACTTCGGAGCCAAGAAATACAACAAAGGTACAATCGAGCAATCAAGCGCGAATCGGACTCAAACAACATTGCGGAATAGGGCATAAGACACCCTTTTATAAACTACCACGACCCAGTGACAAGGGGAGCCAAACAGGCACGTTCAAACAGATCGTCGTGAATAATGACAACTCATAAATAAAACCCAAAGGGAGATGGGGCAAGGCGCAACACTTATCGTGATTTAATTATGTACCCAATGCCATCATTTAAAATTTCAAAACCCCAAGGTCACACGTGTCACTTCTTACATCTAACTCAGAGCTATGATGATTATGACCGTAGCTTAGCAACTACGTTCTCCCTAATCCCATCGTCCAACATCTTCTCTCCCAGCTGTTGTTTCATTGTCTTTAGATGATTTTTCTTTCCTGGTAGCAGTAAGAGAGGGCGGGGGCTAGATCACACATGCAGCACTAACTGCCATCAAAAATCAAATCACCAAAAGATAGGGGGGGCCGAACCTTTGATCATCATGAATCACCAAGCAAGAGTATA